TTCCAGCTGAAAGAACACCAAACATGCTTGTTGCAGTGGGCCCAGCAGAGAAAAGGCTCTGTGCGGCTCTGCTGTCTGAGGATGACTATTTGTGACCTCCCTGTGGAGATTATCAAGAAAGTCTTGGACATTTTCCATCCCTACTATATCGAGGAATTGGAACTATTCACAAACCAGGTTCTGCCCTTCCTGGTTCACTTTGCATCTTGCCTTGGCCGAATGAGAAATCTTCGCAAATTACATCTAACTCAGATCTACTTACGCACAGACAGGGTTGGATATCCTACTTTGACATATACAGAGAAGTGTGCTATCAAGGTCCTTTCTCAGTTCTCCAAACTCAACTGTCTCCAGCATTTCTCTATGAATGGAGTCTACCTTTCCTCTGACCACATGAAACATTTGTTCAGGTATGGAAGGATGGAGAGCTGTTTCTTCTGTGACAGCAAACCTTTTCCCTTTGCTTCAGCATTAGTTGTCCCCTGGGGTGTGTGTGACACTGTGGATTTTAGAATGATGGACTCATTACAGTATCTAAGGGTGGAGTTGCTTCCTTCGTAACTGACCATTCATTTAGCAGAGTCCGAGCTGGGGTAGGAGATGTTTAGAGAGCTGCCTTAAAAGCAGGTCCATTGGGTGGTTCAGACCCAGTGAGTGTGCTCTGAATATTCCTCCTTGAGATCCTGGCTACAGTAATGGGAGGGAATTCCACAGATTAGCAGACCCTGAGGTGTGGACAACTCACACCTACACAGGATCCTAAGGAGCTCTGTACTCAGATCTCTATGAACAGGGACCAGCTTGTGTTGGATCCTCTGACAGCCTCGAACTCTCCCAGAGAGAAGGATAATATGAACACAGGTTGAGACTTAGTAGGTGGAAGTGGGTGATGCTGGGGTGGAGGACCATCGGTTTCAAAGGTGGAGCACTGAAATCAGGCATATGGGATGTGATTGAGAGGAGGGACAGTGATGAGCTATGCAGGACACATACCAAGATGTTTCCAGAACCTTTTTGTGATGGTCCTCTCTGGGTATGACCTCCCAGCCTGCTGTTGCAAAGTTTAGTTCTGTTTGACAGACTGAGGACAGGCAGCTACAGATCTGTGGTCTGAGACTGTCTCACCTTTTGTATATGTCTCAGGAGAAAATTAAATGAGCAGGAACCAACAGGCTTTATCCCAAGTGTTGACCTTCAGCATAAGGCTAGACTGACTTTACATATGTGGTCCCTTCTGTCTCAGTGTTACTAATGTCCTTCATTAGCCAGAACTAATTTCCTGTTCTTTCCCTAGATGCCTGAAGACCCCCTTGGAGTCCTTGTGTATCACTCTTCGTCAGCTCTCACAGTCAGACCTGAAATACTTGTCACAGTGTCAGAGGCTCTGTCACCTGAAACACCTGGTCCTCAATGGCGTAGAGTTATCCGAGTTACGTCCCACACATCTCCGAGTTCTCCTAGAGAATGTAGCAGGCACACTGCAGAACCTGGAGTTAATGAACTGCAGGATAAAGGACTCTCAGCTCAGTGCCCTCTTGCCTGCCCTGAGCCAGTGCTTCCAGCTTACCAGTGCCAATTTCTATGATAATGACTTCTCCATGGCTGTATTGAAGGACCTTCTGCAAAGCATGGCCAACCTAAGCAAGTTGAGTGTAGAGCTCTACCCTGCCCCTCTAGAGTGCTATGATCGCCAGGGTTATATTCTAGTGGAGAAATTTACCCAAGTATGTCCTGAGCTCCTGGATATACTCTCTGCCCAAAGGCAGCCCAAGACAGTAGCCTTTGCTACACGCATCTGCCTTGAATGCTGCAGGCGCTGTGTTTATGACATGGAGAGCACACTTTGTTGGTGTTGGCAATAAATAGGCTGCTTCTGGATACTGAGAAATGAAAGTCTAGGTGGTATGACTTTCATCATGGGGTATCAGAACACAAGGTTTCAGACACTGTGATTCATTGGAAACAAAATAGTGTTCAGTGGATCCATACCACAGAGTCTAACTTAACTTGTAGTATAATAGGCCCATGGCCACAGTTGTCTTGTGGAATCAGAAAGGCAAATTTGCAATTCTAAATGTGCCTCTGTCAAATCAGGTTCACCACGGACTTCCCGGTAGTTATAAACTTATGGTCAGACTAAGAACCTGAATGCTCTCCTCTGTATCCTATTCAGTCAGTAATCTAAGTTTTAGGTTCACAGTCAAGGTGTCCTGTGATCTCATGAAGTATGATTGTGGTGGTATTCTAATTGTACTGAAATGTGATTTTGATTGTATGTTAATAAATAAAGTTGCCCGGGGGTCAGAGCTATTAGAGCCATAGACAGAGTGTGGCGGTGGCACACGCCTTTAATCCCATAGATCTCTGTGTGTTCAGGGATACAGCCAGCATTGGAGACATATGCCTTTAAGACCTAGGGGGCTGTACATTCAGTGATGAGGCAGTCACGTGTTTGGGTTTACAACGAATGAGAAGGCAGAACAATAATACTATAAAAAAGACGTACAGACAGGAAGTAGCCCTCTTTCAGGAAGCTGGGACACCGCAGGCGGAAGGGTGAGATTTTAGCTCTGAGCTCTGACCTCTCGGCTTTCTCTTTTACATTGTTTCTGTGTTTATTATTTAATAAGACTGTTGTTTACATCAATATATGATCAAGGACATAGTCTAAGACTTGCCAGCATCAAAATGAACTGAAGTCATTTATGACATTGTCTTCCCTGTTTACATCCCATTATTTGGCTGCTTGGTGGAGTATTGGTACAGAACTGTCAAACTGAACTGAGCAGTATTGACCTGCTCTCCTATGAAGATGGTTTTGGAGAAAAGCAGGAGTTTCCATCCCGGGATACTCAGATAGGAGGTGCTGTGCACACACTGAAGATGACTGAAGAAAAAGTGCTTGCCTAGAGTACTGACTGACCTGAGACCTGGTTGTTAACTGTTTAGTCGTGAGCTTTGTCTTAATTTGCTAAGAGAGTAGCCAAGCCAGCTATTTTGCTCCCTTTCATTGGATCAGGTAGCAATAAGATTGTTTTAATTACTCTGTATTTTCATTGGTCTTCATTAAAAAAATAAATCATCCTCTTCTCATACCTCGTTGTGATGCCTGCTAACTCATATAATGTACTAACTGTAAAGGACACTTGAAATCACACTCTGGACAGAACCATCCCTTGGGAAGTGATGGGATTGTGAGCAGAGGGCATTTGAACACAGACCCTGATTATGAACACAGTCTCGAAAAGTGTGGAGGTTCATAGAACTTAGAGCTCCATCAGTGCTCAAGGAGGTTGGCTGTCACAGGCTAAGAGCCTATTGTGACATGGTTTATGACTTTCACTGGATTATCATGACTAGATATACAGTAATCCAGCATCTGTTCTTCCTCTTCCTACCATTGTTCAGGCTGTGGTGCATTCTATATTTTTGGTTGTGAGCCTAACCTTTAACGGCTGAGCCATCTCTCCAGCCCCTGTGGTACATTCTAAATGCCTGTGTGTGTCAGGAAACATCCCACAGAGGGGTAAAAGTGGATTCAATGTGAAGAGTAGACATCAGGGTTCTTCTTCCAGGTCTGAAAGTTAAAAGGTATTGACCTTCAGGCCATTAAGAAAGTGGATTCTCTGCAGGGAAGCCTGGGAAAAATGGAAAAGAACAGAACTAAAAGGCAGATGTGACCTTTCCACCCCTAAAAGAGATGAAGAACAAAAGTGAAGAGGAACAGAGCAGCGTGAGCACGGAGTCTGTGGCAGGTGCTGCTGACTCTGCTGAGGAGGCTGGCCTGCTGGGTGATGATGATGATGATGAAGATGCCAGGGATGACCAGCTGGAGTCAATCAACAGAGAAAGAAAACTGTTGTGGATATTGCTCTGTATAAATAAAATGCTGATTGGCCAGGAGCCAGGCAGGAAGTATAGGTGGGACAAGCAGAGAGAAGAATTCTGGGAGGTGGAAGGTGGAGGCAGAGAGACAACGCCAGCTACCGCCATGACAAACAACATGTGAAGATGCCCATAAGCCATGTGGCAACGTATAGAGTTATAGAAATGGGTTAATATAAGATAGAAGAATTAGATAAAAAGAAGCCTGCTGCAGCCATACAGTTTGCAAGCAATATAAGTCTCTGTGTGTTTAGTTTGTTGGGTCTAAGCAGCTGCAGTACTGGCTGGAGAGAGAGATTTGTCCTGACTCTGGGCCAGGCAGGACCAGAAAGACTCTAGCTACAGGAGACAATGACAGAGACTCCACCAATGGAGAGGATTGTTCTTAAGTACTTGGAAGAACTGGGAAATCCTACTCCATTATTCTTTTACCTGGGTGCTTGTCAGAGATCAAAGCAGGACTCAGTCCTCTCCCCTAGTACCTCCAGCACATTTTTACTGTCCTCCCTCCTCCTATCCTTCATTAATTCATAACTGCCCTGCACCTAGTTCCATTTCCCTTCTTTTGATGCTCCTTAGTAATTTTCTTAAGTCTTACCCTGTAAGCTTTGCTTTTAATTTTGATGTCTCTTTCACTTAACAATAAGATGCATGGCTTTTGTCAGCTGTCTCCGAAATAGTCTCTTGCTTTGCAGGGAGTACAGTTCTCCCGATTCAGATCATTTCAGTAGTTCCTCCCCTCACTGCACAGGCGTCTGATTTACATGTTACCCCGAGAGCAGCTTTGCACTAGAGGGCTATGCTTTCCCTCACATGAGTGGAACCGTTCGACATGAACGTAGCCATGTATTTTTGTGAATGAGAGTTGGCACGTCAAATATATCCTACAGGAAAATATTGTTATAGTCTTAATATTTGATGGATGGCTGGGGAACCTGCAGGGGACTGAAGCAGGCTCTCTGAATGTGGGTGACAGTTGGGAGACCTGATCTCCTTGTGGGTCCCCTGGCAGTGGGACTTGGATTTATGCCTGGGGTGTGACCTGGGTTTTGGAGCCCACTCCCTATGGTGGGATACCTTGCTTAGCCTTGATGCAGGGTGGAGGGGCTTGGGCCTACCTCAACTTAATGTACAAGACCTTGTTGACTCCCCATGAAAGGCCTTACCCTCTCTGAGGGGTGGATAAGGGAGGGGGGGGAGTGGGAAGGAAGCAGAAGGAGGGGAGGGAACTGTGGTTGGTATGTAAAGTGAAAAAAAATTTAAAATAAAATAATATATTAAAAAAGTATTTATAGCCAGGCGGGGGTGGCACACACCTTTAATCCAAGCACTTGGAGAGGCAGAGCCAGGCGAATCTTTGTGAGTTCGAGTCTAGCCTGGTCTACAAAGTGAGATACAGGACAGGCTCCAAAGCTACACAGAGAAGCCCTGTCACAAAAAAACACCGCCCCCA